CAACCTGGCTTTATTGATACTTTTGTATTTTTTGGTATTTAAACAAGGATCTCCTCTGTTAGGTAGAATTTGTAGAGACTTTCTATATAGTTTAGATCGAAATTTTAGATAGCTTATTTTAGTCACCTGGTGATTTTGAAATTCTGCTAAGTTTTGTTCAAGTGCAAAGATATACTTTAACTCAACATTGTGAGTTTATTCTTATTCTATATTTTAACTTTCTTTTTCTTTTAACTTACAGAGAAGGGCTCACAAGTCCAATACAGTCACTGCAAACAATTGTCTTTGTGTTGTTTCCTTGTATTGTCTTAAATATTGTGGTTTTAATTGTTTATGTGTTGACTTCTTTTTTTATGATTAATTCATTCAAGGTTTGAAAAGTAATGAATTTTATGTGATATAGTATTCGTCACATCTCCTGTTAAGTGGACCCTACATATTTGCTTTGCAATAAATCTGTTTAGCAGACTTTACCACAAAGGTAAAGCTCAACCAGGAGAGATTGAGGAACGTAGTATGTAGGCATGTAACTTATTTACGAGCAGATATGAGTGCAGAAACGAGTGCTGCACTGTAACTATCAACCAACGTGTTGTAGTTCTCAGTATGTGATGCAGTTTGTGGTTTCCACTAAGGTATGAGATTCTCCAGACTATACCTAACACAAAATCTGGAGGGCACCAAAGTATTAAACACAACTGTGCTTATGCTTGATGATGGTTCTACAGGATGAATTCAAGTCAATACGCTCGACATTTAGCACTGGTGTAGACACTGTATGGTGTGTCCTGCCCAGGGAAAGAGCCAGCCAAAATAGAGTAAACGTCAGAAGTTAACTGTTAGTTCTTCCCTAAAATGAATAGCCATGGATATTATTGATCCACTTCCAAACACTGAACAGAGTACTTGTTACATACTAGTTACTATCAAATATTTCACAAAATGGGCAGAGGCTTACCAACTGATCGATACTTTGGCATAGTCCATAGATGATATGTTGGCAGAGCCCTGAATAGCCTGTTTCAGAACTAATTTCAATATCAAAATATCCTCTGAGTTGAGTAGAATGTTAGGTTTGGTAAGGATGTTAAATTCACTAAACTAATCCCAGTCTGATGATTTAATAGAGCAGATGATGCAGACAATCAAACAGCTGTTTATTGATCACGTCTGATCTGACTGGAAGGCGCATTGGAATAAAAACCAACTCAACTAAGGTTTACTGGTTGTTTTATGAATATGCTTGCACACATATATAAACATTACATAAAGTCATTCATCAGTGATGAATAACACAAACTGATCAATTACACAGAGAACACAACTAGTAAAGACATGAGAATGGAAATAAATGATTTTATCTGAATGTTATTACCTGTGATATGGAATTAACTATAATTACTGACCTGCAAAGTATTATTTGAAGATGCAATGAACCTGCTATTTTCATAAATGCTAATGGAAGAATGTTTCAATTTTGACATTGAAATATTCGGCAAGTATTGCATTTTCATAGAAAGATAAGATTAATGAATAATCTCACACTATGTTTAAGATAAAGTAGTTTGATCTGCTGTTTTCTCTAATGCAATGGAGGAGACTGAAAACTTCATTTCTGCCAACATTGACGACCTGGTCTCCTTCCTGACCATTCTCAAGACTACAGGAACCAGTCTTACTTTAGATATGGCACAGGCCATAGATGAAGGTGCATTGCTAGCCAAAGCATTGGATATTCAAGGTCCTATGGTCAAGTCTTTTGATGGGTTGGCCCTAAAATGTTCTAAGGCCAGAGATCCCCTAAAGGTCACTGAATACAAGCCACTTCCTGGCTGCAAAGAGAAAACACGGCCTCTGCATAACTACTATCCTTCTCCACCACATCTGTTGAGTCTAGTCTTCCTGCAGCTCAACCTTACTTCTCTACTCATGAAGTCATGCAGATGCCTTCGAAGAGGAAAACGACTGAGCTGCTAACAATATATCATGACCAGCCCTTGAAATGCCCCTTCGGAGGATACCGAACAATCAAGAAGCACAAACACCAGATTTACATACACTTCTGGTATAATCATTAAATCTTCAAACCAATTAAGACCTTTTCTGAGCTAAAGTATTCCTGAAGGTCGAATGAGCACCAAGAAAGTCTCTCAAAGCTGGAGTCCAAAGCTAAACTGGCCACATCAACCATACCATCACCTGCAAGGGTCTCCAAGGTGAATGTAGGCACTTCTACCACAACTAACCCACCACCACCAGCCAAGGTGAAATTAATGGTCTTAATTTCCACAACGATAGCCCCATCATCAGCTAAACGATCACAGTAACTGCCACAGCCAGAGCTAGAACTCCCCTCGATACCACCACCAATTTAACATTACCC